TTTTTTTTGCAACTCTTAAAGATACATAGTTTCAAGGCTCTAACTGCTATTCATGCTAAGTTGTTCGGAATTTGCTAACGTCCTAGTACAGCTCGGTTCCGCAGCTTTACCTTTGTGACGCGAACATTTTCAGCCAACTGGAACTTCATGCTCAATGCGTAGTTGATTGTTGAACGCCCAGTCATACTCCCAAGTTCATGAAGCTTAGCTGCATCACGCTTATAAACGACTACCATAGCTACTGATGAGAATATAGTGATAGAAAGAGTGACTGCTGCAAGAAGAATCGTAGTGAATATACCTAAAATTTATAGTCCTCAAATTATATTTTCAGTTTGTTCATGTTAATAAACAATCTCAAGTAAATCAATTTATCTGCTGAAAAGATCTGCTAATACTATTGCTTTCAAGCGTTCAATTTCATTTTGCTTCAAATCAGTTATGCCTTTTACCTTATATTTGCAGAAACTCTTACCAACGCATATTAATTGAACGAGAATATAGTACAGTGCAGCGAGCGTTAGGGCACCACCATTAACCATATACGAAATCCAAGCGCGATTGCGATTTTCATAGTCGCTGATATAGCGTGAAGCGAATATTCTTTCAGCCATGACAGCAGGAATCATAGTTTGAAGGGAAGATAATAGCGCATATCTTAGAAAGTAAAGGAAGAATAATCCAGCGGTTATGGTACCTGAAACAAAATGCAATAATCAAAACGGTAAGGGAGGATGCCTAAACGTCACTGATTTCAGGAGTATTTCGTATTAGTAGAGTTCTATTTCCATCAAAAAAGTTCAAAACACCTTACTTACCCCTTTCTCCAAATACTTCGACATCATACAACATTATAAAAACTCGAAGAATCTCTGTTACTGTGAAGGCAACGAGATGCGCCTAAATGTTTGCAGATAGACGTAATTTAGAAAAATAGCAGTGTTTTGTATCGAGTTTGTTCTTGCTTATCTATACCTCTGTTTTCACATCAAACTCTACAGCTGATTGTTGCTTCCGATGAGCCAGCTCGTGAGTTTTTGACGGGAAGCTTATTTACCTGTATCAGTAATCAGCCAGAATTCTCGACAATGTAGGACCACAAATATTTTTTTTT